CGTATAGGTGGACACCATTTTTTAACCTAACGAAATTATAGTGTTGACGAAGTGGCAAAAGATAAATAAAGTGATGTCATTCAAAAAAATATGCCGAAAATAAGCACGATCCCGATTTAGAACTCAAAATATGCCTCAAAACTCGTGCTTATTTTGGGGGCAAATACGGTACATGTTTTCAAAGTGTGACAAAAAACTTTTATTTGTATATGTAGTTAATACATAATACAAATTAAACCTTCAAGTAGTCATTTGAATAATTCACAATGTTAAAATTTCTTAATTATGACATGGAGTTTTTAATGCAGGAGTTGTTCGATGTATTAAAAGTGGGACCATTCAGAAATCAGGACACCTCGACTATGAGCCACATTCCGTCCTCGTTGATATTTGCTTAGAACTCCCATTTGCAGCTTGAATGTCAGAAATATTAAATTTGGAATAAAAAACTATTTGAAGATGAGTAGTCTTTGCCAAGTGAATTCCATTCACACGGATTATAACCACTAATAATCTTTACCTCACTTTTTACGCGAATAGCAACATACACAAGCGATGAAAGTCCGACTACCACGTAACAGCGCTTTGATTTTTTGCTGAGTGCCATCTATTTATTTAGTCCAATTCATTATTTTAGAGATCTGATTCCGAATAAATAACTCAAATCTACGTCGAAAATTGTTTGCCATTAAGTTCGTTATGTGACCATTTTTCCAATGGAATTGTTAGATCTCAATTTCGCCAGCATCCGCAACTTGAGCGATACCCCATTCAAGCAAAGGTCAATTTCATTTTATATTAAGATCATCACGTTTGAGTAAATAAACTAAAGCTGATTCGATTGATTAAAAAATTGTATCTTGACTTGTGATGCCTGTGCAAAATTTGAGAAGCTTTGTGAAAGAATTATGCTTAAATGCGAAGATTGATTTTGATATATTCAACAAGAATTAACTTAACTCATCGGCTGCAACTAATAAATCCAAGGTGTCAAAACTCCATATCTTGAAAATCGATTATTCCGCTGTAAATATATCTATTAAAATTTTAATCAGAAAATCAGTCTGTTAATTTAAATACATGTAACGTATAACGATAACAAATGAATTTTAATTCTTTCCTTTAGCATACATGTGCATGTACATACAGAGATCTAGAATTCACACTTGGATAGGACATGTATAACGATAACGTAATCAAACCACAGAAAACTTATTGACAACAAGTGCTTTTTTATTTCGAAATAAATGTACGAGCAGAACTTATATCAATGACTCAGGCGACTATTTTATTCAATACTACGGGTCATTTAATAAATAGGTGATAATGATTTTTTTTATTTTCAAAATATAATTTCACGTCTCAAATTTCGCCACTCAATCAAAAATTTAATTTTCTGCCCCATCAATAATAATGTTATCAACATGACTGGCTGTCGCGGTTGTTGTCGCCCGTATGATTGCATTATTCGTAAATGTATCATCAGTTAACTGTTGCTGTTCTGAATCAACATTATTACTGGTCGATTCCTTATAGTCGTCATCATCATTGTCTTTATCCTCCTCGTCAAAATTATCATCAGACGTCACGCCATTGATTTGTGGTGACAGTGTTGGTGGTGGTGAAGAATGTCTAAGAGCACCAGCAATAATATATAACTTGCGTATCAAGGTAATAAGACATGTGGTGATGAAGCTTGCTAAAATGGCGAACAGAAACAATAATGTCAGGATCACTAAAAATACTAAGAGAATTAATCCATTGATTATGGCGAACAAGATTCCACCTATATGATGGTGAGAGATTATAAAAAAATAAGTTAATTTCCCATAATAATTTACGATCATAATGGAATAAGATCGATGGAGAAGATTAACAATTATTACTTATACAACTAATAATAGCCAATCCAACAAACGCGCACACCAACAACACCAAACAAGGTAATGTGAACCACACCACAAACGCCAAAGCATAATCGGACAAGAACTGATCATCGAAATTAAATTTCCACGCTTTCACTTTTCGGTACTGGTGAATTACGAAGTCGAGTGTTGATTGGGGAAAAATTTTGATTCTGTCATTAGTATTGATGTCTATTCCCCGTTCTTCTTGTACGAGAAGCGGGGCGGTGGCTAATTCATGTTCATGATGGTCGTATTCTTGACCCGATATGTTGCTTTCATCTTCTGTTGTTATAAATACGGCGGAATTTATAGAGGCGGCAGTAGATCCAACATCACTCCTAGTAGTAGCAACATTATTACTAGAATCTTTCTCATGAGATTGTGCACTGTCTGTCATTTTATATTTAATATTGCGTTATTTTAATGATGATAATAAAAATGAGTAAATCGTGCAGGAAGGGAAAGCATAAATGAATTTTTTTGTCATCATTTCATTAGCAAACAAATTTTTATTTGGTCGCGTGATGCGATAAAAAAATCGATGCTTATACATGTATATCATAATTACATAATAACACTGGTGATTAAATGACATCATGATATGATTGAAGCTGTGATCTTTTTCGCTATCCCAATGCCTGTTATCTCTGTTATTCTTTCCGTTATTTTCCCTTGACCGTTTCCTTGGCCGTTGGTTGTTTGACGACGGTAGCGCGCTCATAGCGGAACAAAGGGAAAGTGTGGCGAGGACAAGTGATATAAGTGAGAATCTTCGCAAATTTTTTTTTTTGGTGTTCAATATTTTGTTGTATTACTGTAGTATTTTTAATTTGAAAGTTGAATTTCGAGTGCTTTTATTTTTCTAGTATAAGAACATGGCATTTATATATAAAATTGGTTTCACTTCACAATGATATATCGGTCAAGGTTGGTTAATGTTTGTGCATGTAGAATGTTTCGAGGTTTGCTGCATGCACTCCGTGTTTCCTTGTTAGTATTCAAAAATCTTCTTTAAGTGGGGAATAATCGTTTTTTATGAAAATTTATCTTTGGGTTCATTCCTATTTTGTTTTTAGTTTTTCCGTCGTAGCATGTTTTTTGAAATGCAATGTCAAGGATGAAGGTAAAAAGTTCGAGAATGGTAATATGAACGTGATAAGCATTTTTTTATATTACTTGCCAATAAAAGAAACCAATGCATAAATGCGTGCTCAACATGTAATAAAAAAAGCAACATACATGCACGGAATACATGTATTTACTAGAATACACACGCATGCACAAAGTTAAATATCAAAATTGTTTATATCATTGACTAAAAAAAAGATCCGGTTACTGGATCATTTGGTGAATTATGGCTAGCATTGAATTCACGTAACTTTGAGGAAGCAACAATCGTTTCCATTTCATTATTAATTAACCAAAAAAAAAAAATCACATCAAGTCTAACTTTAATTGTCACTATTTTTTAATTAGTGTCCGTTAGCTGGTTTAGTTGGTTGGTTCTTGATAGGGTTGCTGTTAGGTACTCCGTAATTGTTGGTGGCTTGTTTTACGGTCTTGGAATAAGAATCCTTATCTGGTGTTGGTTTATTGTTGTCGACAATTTTATTTGGGTTTGAATTTGAACTCGATGAATTTGGGTTTGAATTTGAACTCGATGAATTTGGGTTTGAACTTGAACTTGATGAACTTGGGTTCGAAGTTGACGCTGATTTGCTTGAGCTCTGAGTTGACGCTGATACGGAAATGCCACCATCACCATTGTTATTTCCATTCCCTTTGGTTTATTATTATTTTATTATTGATTCGAAGAATCGCGTCTAAATAATACGAATAAAAAAGAGACAAACTTACCATTTCCTGACCCGCCGTTGCCTTTGTAAATTCAAGCAAATACAAGAAACATCAGGTTAAAAATTTTTTCACTTTATTAAACTAATGATTAGATCATATTATAAAATTTACCATTCCCGTTTCCTTTGTTTGATAAAGGAATAGGCGCACCATTGCTACCAAGAATCAAAAACGACGCGATTACAACAAGAGCAAAGTAAATGATGAATTTTTTGGAGGCCATTATTTTTTTCTGTTCTGCAAGGAAAGAAAGTTTTTCGTGTATTGGATGCTTTACGAAGAGAAGAATTTATGAGACTCGTTTTGAAACTTGTTTGATGAAAAACTCTTTGAGAAGGATGCTGTTGCCCCTCTTTTTATATCCAAGTAATAACAACCCATCCTAATCTAAGTTTTATTAATAATTACTGATAAGACGTTTTTCAATGAAAGAACCAATAAGAAGACCCGATGTATCCTCCTTTTTGTTCAAGTCCATTGAACAATCAATCACAATTATACATGTTATTTAGTGCTGTTTTATTTTGATGACGTGCCAATGTGCTCCTGGCCCAACACAATTGAGCTGTTTCCTACATACATATCAATATTATGTAAAGAATTCAAATCTCGCATTATACAACTGCAAAGGTAGGACAACTGAATGATGAATGAATAATTATGCACGAGGAAATTATTGTTTACCGGTATTAAAAATCGGCTCTTCGTCTTAAATACGCGCCTCTTTATTTCTTCCAAATTGGGTTGTTTATTGAATTTAACAAAATGACATTTATGGATTTGTTTGTGCTTGTATGGTTGCAGTGAGTGTTGCTCTATTTTTCCTTATCGTTATGTGATGCATGTCTATCTATGTTTAAATTTAGATCCACATACCGATAGAATTATTGCATTTAGATTTAGATAGACGGTTAACTATTTTTCGAGGGATGAAACTCGCGCTAACGTTAGAAATGATTTTGATACATTACGATTAGGAAACGACACACGTGTGAATTCATCCTTTAGCATTAATCTTTCTTTTTTTGTTAGAGACGCAGTCAACCTCCATAAATGCAAGCCCTCCTTAGGATCAGCCACTCTTGCGTTTATATTTTTAATAAATCCGCATATATATATGTTGTGTTTTATCAAAATATTTTAATTAAATTAAATACAAGTACATATTTAGTCATTAATTGAGAAACTGATCTTTATTTAAAATCTTCCAATATACACGTGTATTGCATTAATTTACTTGATACCAAGCAAAGGTTGCATTTTGGAAAATACATTAGTTTCTATAATTCATTACGATTGTTCAGAACCAAGACAAGGTTGTATTTAGAGGAAGTTTCTTTCGATATGCACATACATAGTTCCGGGCAAAAAAGATGTTCTTTTTTTCTTGTTGTTGTTGTTGTTGTTGTTGTTGTTGTTGCTGTTCCTGCTTCTGCTGCTGTGTTGCTATTAAAATGATCAGACAAGCAACTTATTAAAAATTGTAAAAACAAAATGGACTAAATTAGAAAAAGGATAGCGCAAATTCATGTATGCACATGTACGTTTTTATCCCCTCTATGCACACCATTTGTGTTAAAAGTAAAACTGATGAGATGGATATTTTAATTAAAGTCATTTAATAACGATAACGATAACAAGCAAATCTGATCATAGTAAATTATGACCGTGTGATTATAGAGAAGTTTGTATAGCAAATATAAAAAGAAAAATTTGACATAAAAAAGTATCAAAAAAGAAACATGCATATTTCAAAAAATTATAACACAGAATAGCCTTTTACTGAACAGAAATAATTTTAACAATCATGAATTTAATTCAAAGCTTATTAGCAAATAAAAAGGAAAAATTAATCTATTCTTTTCTGGATACTTTTCATTATGGTGATATACAGAGCCCTAGCAGAATATTGTGGACAGTTTAAATTTTAAATATCAAGATAAATAAAAATAAAAATAAAAATTTTTAAATTCTTGAAAAATTTAGCTTTCAAACAAAAAAGATTAAAAATCTTCATAAAACGCCGTGCAAGCTACCCCGGGTCTCTTACATTCTACCCTCATGTAAATTAATTTATACCCGGTGGGTATGTTATAAGGAGCAAGGGTCTTTTGTATTGTGGGTATATTAAATGGGGGATATATTTAATGGAGAATATAATAATATGACATGTAGTAACCTAAACTCATAAAAATATAATATCAATTTAATTTGTATTTTATTATTTTTATCATACGTATGAATCGAATTTTCTTAATCGAGCATAAAATACCGGATCTGAACCACGGGATGGTACAATACACAGTTATACCCGGGTCTTACCTATGTACAAGACCGGGTCTGGTGTGATACAGGGGGGGTAGTTTGCACGGCGTTTTACGGTAATTTTTGCAAAAATTGAGTTTCTTTCACCAATACGAAAATCGGTAAAGGAGGATATTTTCATGCAATATCATAATATAAAATACACCATTCGATTCGTCATAACCAGAAGAAGCGATTCACATTACATAATTTTGTTGTACGGTGAAATTTCCCATCAAGTAGTGAACGTAATCGCACGAAAATTATACCATTCGATTCGTCATGATTAGATGAATTTGAATGGTGGTATTTTCGTGCGATTACGTTCACTAAGTGATGAGATATCGCGCGTAAATGCATTGTACGTCAAATAATCGCCAATTTACGTGTACGTGTACTGTAAATCGAAATTTTGATTTTTAGGTTCAATACGCAGTGGTCGAAATCGCACAAAAACCGTTCGATCGTCTGGTTATGCCCGAATCGAATGGTTTATGTACATGTAGTATTTTTATGGGATTAAATCGTGATATCGTCCACCTTCTTAATACATGTACATGAGGTAAAAAAAACCATTTCTATTATTATATAAACAATCAATTTTGAAAAAAATTTGGTTTTTACTGACTGCCCATATACATGTAACATATTTTCTTTATAAAAAGAGAATTAAATTTTTGCGTAGGTTTTAAAAATGTTAAAAAAGAGGAAGCCATTTTCTATTGAACTCTTAATAAAATAATTAATTTTATGGACAAATATTTGAAATTTCAAATTCTAACTGTTCATTGCTAAGAAAAGTGCATGTTATATACGTTATATTGTCAATATTGACGTCTGACTTTAAAAATACGTCACAATTTTCTTTGTAAAGTCATTTAGAATTGTTGAAAAAATGATTTTCTCATCAGTTTTTACCGAGTTCTAACTGGAGCTTGGACAAAATTCGTTGATAATCTAAGTTTACGCAATTGTTCTTTTGCAAATCATCTTCTAATGCTGGCTTAAGCTCATATTTTTCTGCTAGTTTCTTGTGCAATTTTTCAAAGAACCAACACATCAGATTATTGAATTGGGTGTCGCAATGTCTAGTGAACAACCAATCATTAAAATGTTTGTTCTTTGCCTCGCTCCATTTTATATCCTCATGATTTCCAAATGTAACCAAAGTATCATCAAGGGTATTATGGCATGGTCTCGCAATTAAATGCTTGCTCTTTTTATTATGTGTTCCAATTAGGCCACGCGACTGATGACATGTATGATGCCTTTTTGTATCGCATTCATTTTCATCGTGACCGCGACCTCCCCAACATAGAGCCCCACACCAAAAACAGTTTTCCGTACATCCAAGTCTTTTCATTACATTATCATCTTTAGACGGCTCGCAAAATGTTACAGAATTAGATTTAACTTTATTCCATTTATCTTCATCTTTCAGCCCTTTTACCAAACTAGTATATAGCATCTCGAAGTCCGCCTCACTCGTCTCACTCATTTCACTAATATTTTGATCCATTTTGTATTCAACGCCTTCAACTTGAGCCAAATAGTGTTTAACAAAATTTTTAATTTCCTCAATATTTTGACAATTACCAACTTTGAGAATGACCTGTTCAGATTCGGCTTCAAGAGTTTTTTCGTATACGCTTTGCGCTTTATTTGGATTTTCATCAACAATCTGTTTAAACCATGTTTCTATATGGTATTTAGGATGCATGAAGTATTCGACTGCATTAACAAATTCTCCATTTTGAACCTCCTTAGCCAATTTTTCAAAGTACTTGAGCCGCACTAGCTTACTGTCCGTCGTCCAACTCAAATTAAGTACCGCTTGTTTTCTTTCATAAGTTCCTGCGTTCATTGCTTTCTGTTTGATCGCTTGAAGCAGACATTTAGCAATAATTTTTCCTTCGGAAGCAAATGAGAAACCATGTAAAAGTCGATGATTAATCAAGTCTTTGTATTTATGTTGCTTTTGTTCAAGTATCAAAAGTGGTTTATTTCTTTTGTCCCATTCCTCTTGAACTTTTTCCATTTCTTCGTAAAATTTCCCCAGGGCAAACAAGTGAGCGTCCCATTTAGTAAAAGGTAAATCTTTATCTTTCCGATTGAACTTAGACTTATGATCTGTTATTGTGTCACTTACTTTTTTTTTCAATTCACGTACCATCCAAGTCTCAAAATGATCCATATTTTTTTCCTTCAATATGACTTGCCCAAGTCCTCCAAGTACTTCCTCGATTTTCGTGATTTCCTTTTCTATTTCATGATTTTTGTTTGACCAAAAATACACTTTCGAGATCCAGCTTTTTTTGGCATCAATATTTTTGGTATCTCTATTTCGGAATCGACTAAGAACATCAGGTACATTTTCGTATTCTTTTTCCAGCGCCCCATCAATTAATCTTTCGAATGATATAACATTCCCTTTAGAATTTGCCAGTTTTCGAAGAGAATTCCAGATTTCATCAGCAATAGTATTTCTTTCCTTTT